TTTTTTTATTTGTCCATTTATATAATACATGAGATTGCTTCATGCTGATTGTCATCAGAGATTTGTTATATTTAATATTTATAATTTTAATGCTTAATTGTTGTATCTCTCTTTTTCATCTTTTTCTTTGCGGTGTTCATACAATGATTATATAGTTTCGTTTATCAAGTAGTTTTCGAAATTATAAAGTAGGTGTATTTCATGGGGCGTCATTCGATTGCGTCCCGTTTCAACCTTTTATACCTTTTCAGTATGTTAATTTCGTCCACAAGTCGGATAGGTAAATTATTTTTTCTTACTTTTTTATGTTCCAATTGCGTCCTGTTGTATGATATATAAACATAACATTTTGTAAAACGAATAGCCATTATTAATAATTATTTTAATAATAATAATTATACAAAAACCAATAAAAGTAAATCCAAATATATAAGAATAAATAATTTAAAAAACGATATTTAAACTTATCAATTATACGGATTTCTTTATTTTTTCACTAAAAATGGTATTCATTATTAAGTCTAAACTTTAAAGTATCTTTCAATTCTAAAGCACTTTACGTACTAAATTGCTACGTATTCGTAAGTCGATAAGAGTACCAGCCTTATGATAAAATGTTCGTAAACTCATCAAGTAAAAACCAATTCGTGTTTAAATATACCTCCATACCATGTATGACAAAAATATTAGATTTAATATGTCAATTTTATTTATCTGTCACATTAACGCTTACCTACTATACAATAGGACGCAATCGGAACACGGAAAAGGTGGGCAAAAAATCGTTTACCTGCATCTGGGACGCAATCGACAAACTCCGATATTATGGCTACAACACGATTGCGCAATTTTTCTTTTTTTGACCCGACTAAACACACCACGATTGCGCAAAAAAATTGTAACACGATTGCGCCTCGATCCCTTTTTACCTGTTAAAATCACAACACCATTGCGCACCAAATAATATGTATATATAGTATATACTATAGTATCATAATATATACTATATATCATAGTATATACTAGATACGATGTGTAATAACTAATAATGTATGTATAACATAAAATAATTAATCAATTAAATTAAAAATAAATAATTAATTCTCCTGGTATTATATTATAAATTATATATTAATGTCAATACCCAATATTATTTGTTTTTTCGATAGTTATATCAATTTTCAAGAGTAACTATTTTCTGCATTGGTTTTTATTTTTATTTTTATAATTTTATCTGATCGTCGACTCGGTGAAAGCACGGACGTAGTGCTTACATAGTGCATACGTCCGTGGCGTAAAGCAATAAATTTTAGTAGAAAAGTACCTTTAAAGATAATATTTTCTTAATAAGCGATATCACAATATCGGCATTGGATATTGGTATTTTTGTTTCATTCGCAATTTATATCGCGTATAAAGTGAACGTTTATAGTATTATTACAGTATAGTCTAGTGTAAAATATATAGTGTCAATTATTGAAATGGATCTGAAAATTCAAAAGAAATTTCAAACCGAAAAAGGTAAGCCATGCATTTTAGTCGATGGACATAAATACAGGGAATTCAATATACTAAAAAAATGTGGTAGCATCGGATACCGTTGTACCAATAAAAATTGTTCTGCAAGTCTGCTTGTTAATAAAGATGTTACAATAGTTATTAGTATGCTTAACGATCATAACCACGATGTAATTGCTGAAAATATCGTTGGTAGGCAAATTATCAATTCCCGTATTAAAAGGAAATGCGAGAATGATTTATTAACAAGGCCGAATAAACTAATTCGAGCTGAACTTCAAAACGCAGAAAATGATATTGAACTTGTGTATTCTGATGTGAGGTTATGGAGAAATAGTATTTATGATTTCCGTCATAAGAATATTCCTAAAAATCCAAAAAGTGTTGAAGAATCAAAAATTCAAATATTTGATAGACGTGAAAATATAATAAGTAATACTAATGAGTTGTTTTGTCATATGGAAACAGTTTCAAGTCCGGTATTGTTTACTTGTGCTACTAATCTTGAAATATTAAGTCGAAGTTCTCACATTTTCGCCGATGGGACGTTTTCACATTCCCCCAAACATTATGAACAACTTTATACTATTCATATATTGCAAAACGGTTTTTATATACCTGTAGTGTATTGTTTTTTTGACTTCAAAATCAACTCAAACATATATAGATATGTGGCTTACAATTATAGAATTGTGTTTGAAATTGATCGGTATAAATTTACAACTATCATTAGCTCAATCAACTTTTCATTTCGATTTTGAAAAAAGTACACATAACGCTGTTAAAGAAATTTTCCCGAGCTGCAGAATTCTGGCATGTAGGTTTCATTTAAATCAAGCTTGGTTTAGACATATTCAAAAAGATAATCAGCTACTAAATGAATATAAATCAAATTCGGAATTGGGTGTTTGGCTAAAAAAAAATTTTTGCTTTAGGATTTTTACCAGCCAATTTAGTAGAGAATGCTTTTTATATTTAATTGAAAATTCTTTAACGTCTAATTTTGGATTTGCCGATGATTTACTTAAAAACTATATAGAAATCGATGCACAATTTCCACCAACTTTATGGGCAGATAAACCATCCAAAGAAGCTAGAACAACTAACGGTCCAGAATCTTTTCATAGGCACTATAATTCGCAGTTTTATACCTCGCATCCATCTACTTTCCAAGTAATAAACATATTATTAGGTATTCAAACTGAAACCTATTTAAAAATAAATAGTATTAAACGCAATGAAAAAAATAAATTACGAAAAGAGCAAGAAAACAATATTAAATTTATAATGGGTACTTGGGAACAATTTAAAAACAACAAAATATCAATGAATGACTATTTGCAAGCATTGGGACCACGTTTTTGTGCTAGTCACCAAATGTAATTTTTTAAAACTTATTATTATTAAATTTATAACGGATTATTTTTATATGAACCAAAAAAATATTGACTATTGACTATGTCTGTATATACATTTACCATATATCATGTAATTTAAGAAAAAACAATTTTTAACCAAGCCAACGATGATAATTTGTTGACAATCCTAAGCCTGCAATAATTGGGAAGGGAAATTGAATTGATTAATTATATTATGTTGTACCTAAATTATTATACATATTATAGACTATGGTATATAGTATATATGGTACTATAGATATAATATAAAATATATATAATTTTTTGCTCAATCGTGTTGCACCGGTATATTATATATATATATATATATATATATATTTTTTTTATGAAAGGATATAGGGTGGTGGGAAAATAATAGAAAAGAGAAAAAAAAAATACAAGAATGTGGTAGTTATTGCCGAGTATACTATTACATTCATCTCCTTCGTTGTATTGTGTGGATTGGATCTTCTTGTGGCTTCGAATGTTAATATTAAGTAGTCTTGGTGAAGTGTTGGTTGACCGTCGTTTATACCTTTGTTTTGATGCCAATTTCATGTTAAATTGGTTTTACATTTTTTTTTTTTTAACATCTCACTGTTTACATTTTTGTGAAACTGATTTTATAAGTTTATCCACATCAGTAGCTTCTTGGAATAATTAATATTGATTTTAGTCGTGTGAAATGGATTTTTTTTTTTTGAGTAAGTATTAGAGATTGTATTGTTTATATTTTGTTGTAATATTATGATGTTCGAACTTTTTGTAATTGGTCTTACATTGTAATTTTTTTATTCAACCAATTTTTTTTTTGTTTAAGTGTAAAGAGTGTATTTATTATTAGTTTGTTCAACTTCGTATAATTATCTTTGTGGAATAGGAGGGGACACGGTTAACATATCTATTTTGATAATAGCAGGGTATGAACCCTATTATTATAGTAAGCATGGTTAACCATGTAATATAAATGATGTCACCTAAGAAATCATCAATAAGTGGTTGTGGCATTTTCTTTAGCATTATATCATTAAAGTATTTTTGGGGGTCTTGTATTTGTTTTGTTACGTGGAAGTTAGGAATTTTGTCAATCCAATTTCCGTCAAGTTTGAAAAGGATATATTTTCTTTTCCATTCTCATGGTTTATATTTAATGATTTAATTATTGTCCATGATACTGGTAATACTCTTTTGACTGAGTATGTATATAAATTGTTGGTTTCGTAAGGGTGCATTTTTGGTATTAAAACGATATCATTTCTTAATAGTTCATAGCTACACGGAAAGGTCATTTTTATTAATCTTGGGTGATTGTAATTTAATTTAAGTTCTTCTGTTTTGGTTATATTTAAAATTTCTTTTTTATGCTTAAGGTAGGTTGTGGGTTAGTTATGGCGAATGTGTTTATTCCTATTTGTTTTATTATTATAGAGTTGTCATCATATTGTTTAATGCGTTGGAAATAGCAGTATTGATTAATTATATCTAATTTTTTGTTTTTAAAAATTGCTTCTACGCATTTTGGGAAAAAAAGTAATATCAGATGAAAATATTGGAATATTACATTGGTCCGTTATTGGTGGGTCAAAGTGTTGTAGGCCGATTCATGATATTATCTTGTGTTCATCATTCAGTGGCGCCGAACTAATTTTTTTTTAGGTGTGGCAATGGGCATTAATTTATACCCACCCACCTACCACTATATGGTATGAAACCTAAGCCGTGGTGGCAAGCCCCCCCCCCCCCCCCCAAAGACACTACAAATTTTTTAACTTAGAAAATATAATTTTCATGAATAAATTATATTATTTACTGTATTTTTACATTATTTAATATTTTAATATACAGATAAGTACCATAATTTTTAATTAACATAGAAATTAATATGATCATCACACATCAGAAAAGGATATTGGCAAAGAAACTGATTTAAATTTTATATTTTTCTCTATATAGATCTTAATATTATGAAGACATGCAGTACTATTATAAACTATTTATATAAATAATATAAACAACATATTAACCAACTATTGACATAAATATAATATTAGGTTCATTGTTTACTGCATTCTGTTACTCATTTGATTAACATAATATTTTTTTAAGCACTGTACTATATGATGTAAAAATATTGATAACTGAGTCAAAGTCAATGTCAATATCATTCTCACATGATATTAACATCAGAGAATCTAATCGTTCTTCTGCCATTGTACTTCTTAATTTACTTTTAATAAGTTTTAATTTTGAGAAGGCTCGTTCTGGAGATGAACTTGAAATAGGTAACGTTAGTCCAATGCTTAGCGCTGTGTAAATTGCTGGAAACACTTCTTTCAGTCCATTTTGTTGAAATAACTTGTATACTGTGTTTATTGTTCCACAAGTTGTTGACATAATTAGATTTTCTGTGTTTTCTTCTTCGATGTCATCATTGCTATTATCATCACATGGTATTGGCTTATGTATCTTCACTGGTAATTTTATAAGTTTTTCAAACATTAAATACAAATTTACAAACTGTTTGTATTCACGTCTCAAATCCTCAACCTTTACAAATTGTCCATATATTTCTTCAAAACCTTCAAATGCATCAGTTAGTAAATTGGAGTTTTCTTTAACTTCTATTATTCTCTTTACTTGAAAAAGTGATAAATCTTAATATAATGGTGTTGACTGATCATTAAATCTTTCTCTAATTTGAGTACACACAATATCAATGATTGTTAAGTATCTGTTAACTTTAAAAATTGTTATTGGGCAGCTGATAGGATCAGACATAATTTCACCTGGCATTTTCTTTTTTGCTCTTTTTCTATTTGCTACTAATGGCGTGAAAGATAATTCGTCACTTTTAGATGATATATACTGATTCTTATCTTCGATTAAATTTTCAAACTGATTGTCATCTCTGAAAGCTTGAATTTTTTCAAATACACTTTGTATATATTCAGTAGCAGCCAATAAATCAATTTGTACGCCTTGTAAAAATACACTTAAAGGATTAGTTAGCTCAAATATTTGTTTGAATGTAAAACTAGTTAATACAAATGATTCTGACAATAAATAATTTAGTTAACTTCCAGCCTTAACACTACTAACACGATCAACATAATTTTTTAATTCGTCCAATGTGTCAATTAATGAATCGTAAGTCTCAAAAACTGTATGAAGAGCAGCAGCATGAGATGATCACCTGGTAGTTTCTACTCTTTTTAACCTACGTAATGGCTTACCAGGATATCTTTCTTTTTGATGTTGTGAATATAGCCCTACTCGTTTTTTACTGCTGCCAATGTAATCATATAGTGTTTCCAAATTACCGAATAGATTTTTGGCCTGGGAGCAACTACTTACTGCATCTACTATTACCAAACTAAACCTGTGTGTCCAACACCAGACATATGTAGTGGAAGGGTTATGTTCTTTCATTATGGCCTGGAATCCATTGTAGGCACCTTTCATTGAAGCTGCACCATCGTAAGATTGGCCAATTAGATATTTCTTCCAATCTATATCCATTTTTTCACATATATCGTTGAACATTTTAAACGAATGTTGGCTAGTAGTTGATAAAGTTTCTCGAACAGCTATTAGTCTTTCACAGATATCACCGGTGTTTTTATTTATGTAGCGAAACACTATTGACAACTGCTCCTTTCGAGAAATATCAAATGTAGTATCTACAGACACGGCAAAATATTTGGCATTAATAAGCTCATTTTTAATTGAATTACGTATGTGAGTGGCAATAGCTTGAATTAATTGGTTTTGCCGTTCCCATGTGATAACATTATATCAGTAGCGTAGCCAGGATTCTTCTTCAGGGGGCTGATCAATTTTTTACTCAGTGTTGATTTACCAAGGTTTTTCCATAATTTTAAAATGCAAATACCGAAATTTTGTTTTAGACTTTGGTTCCTATATCTCTTAATATGTTAATTGATTTATTAATACACTTGTATACTTTAAATACTTTGGATATTGTATTTTATAATAATATACAATAAATAATTTTACCTGTATTAATTATTTTAAAAAACATAAAAATAGTAATCAATTTTCTTTTCAATAGAACATAATTTAGTATACTAACATTTTATATAATAAAACAAACTCCAATTTAATAAATATGAATAAAATATGATGAATAAAAAAAAAAAACAATATTTATTTACAAAAAATTAAAGTGACAGTTTTAACACGTTGACCGCCATGCGGCCATATAAAAATAATTACATACTGATAATTTTTAGGCCGCCGGCTGCTACACTATATCATTCGTAGGAAGCCATATGGCCGCCGGCTGCCGTAAACTCTATACATTTTGCAATAATAATAAGTATGTTGGCACTGTGTTTATACTTTTTAAATTCACATTGTGACATAGAAGAAGAAATTACTATTCTATCTGTATATAGCACCTCCATATACGATAATTATTATTATTACTCAAATTTAACTATATATTTTACTTAAAACTTCCAAAATAGATTATTTATTTAATAAAACTTAATCATTAAATACTAGAATCTTTAAAAATCATATTTTATGAAATAAATAAAAAATTATAGTACCTTTTCAAACAATAAAGTTAAAATAAATTTCTATTTAAAAAAAAATTAAAATATTGATCCTTTTTTATTAATTAAAACTTAAAATAATTCAGACTTAAATAATGTTTGTCATTTGCTTAATTATTTTTCATTTTTATGATAATTCAAAAAAACAGTCCACACACGAATACACAACACATTTCTTACACAAATTTGTAACTCTTTTAACTTCTTTGCAGGCCTGAACTGATCCAATAATTACAGCTTTATATTCGTAATAATGTGTACATCTCTTTCTTATTTTTCGATTTCTAGCACACTTTTCTGAAGTTTTATTGAAAATATGTTTTGATGATGCTTGTCTTGATGTTGATGACGTTGATGTAGGAACAGAATCTTTATGAAGTAATGGTTAATTTAATCCGAGTATTTCGTTTATCAGTGCTTCACGGAATTGTGTAATTTTAAGTTAATTGTGTGGAGTATTTAAGTTATGTACTATAAATACATTTAACTACAGCAATTCCTAATAAAATCTCCGTCGCCACTTTATGATACCATCCAATTGACTTGCGAACTGGACTGCTGTAACTCGATAGTTAATCTGATAGGTCAATCCCAGCCTTACCAGAATTATAATCAATTATGATTTTTGGCTTCATAATTGTTTCATTGTTTCTATTTTTCTTCACCGTATCTACCATGGTAATGTTATTATGACGAGTCGATAACATAGTGAATCTCTTTCATCGTGCCATTTAGATACCACAACCCCATTCAAATTATTTTTACCTATTATTTGTCCAGGTTTTAATTTTGATTTTGTGACCTCTGGAAGCTTAACTCTGTGTTGCGTGCCAATATCAGATCCAGATCCAGGGTGTTATTTAAATTAAATTTACAACTCTTAAATACAATAATGTTTTATTACATATAAATGAAGTACATGTAACTGTTACAAAAAGTAGCTGAGTGTCGTGAAGTTGCTCAGGTCATCGTAGCTCTGGTACATCTGCCCCTGTTGGTCTCTGGACTCCCTTATATATGTTACGGGCAAAAGCCGAAATCGGGCAAACCTCAGAAATGCCCGGGCAAAACGCGAATTTCCCACAATCCTTGGGCAAAATGTCATATTTCGGCTTTTGACCGGGCAAACCTAGTTATGACCAACATCATTTGGGCAAAACCGCCAAAACCTAACCAATTAATGCATTTAAACCTCAAAACCGTATACTGACTTTTATCGTAAGGGTAAAACCGTACCTAGTGTATTAAATACGTTCGCTAATATTTAATACAAATAGTAATTTTTATCGATTATTACGATTATAGATGTCCACGCGTATCTTGTTAATTTATCGCTGTTATTGTATTTTATCAACTCGTTATATTAAAGGTACACAAAATACACCTTATCTAAATAGTACAAAATTTTATTGTAGTTCGTATTTTTGTGAGCTTATATAAGTACGTCTTTAGCAATGACTAACGAAATGTGTGTATCTGATTTTAAAACTAAATTTGAATTAAAACTTAAAGAAATTACAAAAAGTGAATGCAGTTCTCTAATAAGTGATAAAAATACGATGTAATAAAAGAGGTAGAACAAGCAAAGGTCAAATCAAAGAAAACAACGAGCGAATACAGGAGACTAAATAGATTTGACATACTCACAATCGGTGAGTTTAAAAAGTTAATTGTTCCACCAAGTAAAACCAATGGTGACATTATTTATTTTGTAAAATGCAATGAAATGTTCGATATATTGCACATGGCTCATATAAATTGTGGTCATGGTGGTCGAAACCGAATGGAGAATTCAATAAAACAAAAATACAAAAATATTACCTGGGATATAATTGTATTATATTTACAGTTATGTGAAATATGTAATAAAAAACACGCTCATCCCAAAAAAGGTTTAGTAATAAAACCAATTTTATCTAAAACTTTTAATTCTCGTGCACAGGTGGATCTAATAGATATGCAAAGTAATAAAGATGGTGGTTTTAAATTTATCTTGGTTTACCAAGACCATTTTACTAAGTTTGTTTCTTTACGACCTTTAAAAACAAAAACTTCAAGCGAAGTTGCGTACAATCTTATAGATATTTTTTGTATATTTGGAGCTCCGTGCATACTACAATCAGACAATGGTAGAGAGTTTGTGAATCATATTATAAATGATTTAGTTCTAATGTGGGATGATTTAAAAATTGTACACGGGAAGCCACGTCATTCGCAAAGCCAGGGGAGTGTTGAGCGAGCTAATCAGGACATCGAAAAAATCATTTATGCTTGGATGGAAGAAAATCAGTCTAGAAAGTGGAGTGAAGGATTGAGATTTTTGTCAATTTGCCAAAAATAGTGCTTATCATGCTGGTATCAAATAATCTCCATATGAAGCTATGTTTGGAAAAAAAGTTAGTCTTGGATTAAAAATGTCATTTTTTACCCAATGATATAATTAATAATGTAAATGACGAAAATGACTTACTACAATTTGTAGAAAATGAAAATGAAAATGAAATGGATGTATTAAATGAAAGTGAAAATGAGATGGAGGTATTAATTGATAATGAAATGGAGGTTTTAAATGAAAATGAAAAAAATTTAGTCAACCTATCTGAACAAAAACAAAATTTTGAAATAGCATGGGAAAAGGCAACTGATGGACAGGCCCGGCTCAAGTGATTTTACACACCTAGGCAAACTTAAGTTTTGCCGCCCCTTTACATTTAAAGACTATAAATATTTTTTCACATAAACATTACTGAAATATAGTTAATTCCGAGTTCATTATATTTATTTGTAATTTGTATAAAGTTAACAATTGATTAGATTGATGTATTTATAGTCAAGTAAATCCCTACTAATTTAAATAAATAAAAAAAACAATTTACAAATAGCTGTATTATAATATAAAAGTTAATAAAACATAATATAAATGTTAACATCGTATTAGAACTTGACTTTTCTTGCTTTTGCGTTAGCGAAATCAGATACAACTTCTTCCATATCCATATTATAGGCTAATTCTTTCTCAATTGAAATCATTGCAAGGCCCACTAAACGATCTTGTGTAATTGTGGATCGTAAATAATTTTTAATAATTTTTAATTTTGAGAAACTTCTTTCCCCCGTGGCAGCCGTGACAGGAAGTGTTAAAAGGATTCTTAACGATATATAAGTGTTAGAAAAAAGTTCAACTAATTGATTTTCACAAATATATTCCAAAACAATTCGAGGATTTGTTTCTGTATCATTAAATCGTCTTTGCAGAGCTGTAATTTCATCATATAATTCTACAGCATTAATGTCAGAAGTTAAGCCGTTATCTGATGCAAGTGCTAGTTGAAGATCTTTACAATGAGTCATAAGTTCATCACTATTTTTTATTTTGGAAATGTCATAAAGAAATGAAAATAAGTTTGTATGCTCAGAAAGTAATACAAATCGTTCGTTAATTGATTGTATAGCTCTATCTAAAATTGCATTGAAAAAGTTTACTTTGAATCTTTGTTTAGAATCAATTATGGGATCATCACGTGACTCATAATTAAACTGTGTATTTGTACGTCTAATTCTACTTTGATCTATTAATGGAAATGAATCTTCAATTCCAAGAACCTTTGCTAGTAGTTTAGCAGACTTCATTGTATTTTGAAACCCTTCATCAGAACGATATCTCATTAAAAAAAGTTTAGTTGAATCTAACTGTTTAACTGTTTCAGAAACGTCAAGCGATATTGATTGTAACATTTTACTGGTAATATTTATCTCAAATAAAATATCGTACCAAACTACCAAGCAACACAAAAATTTAAAGTTTAAAAACTTATTGATGATACCAATTGCCTCGGCGCGACTTTTAACACCAGAAGAGTTTACCAAGGAATTATCTTGAGATATTTCTAAAAGAGCTGAATATATTTCTTTGATTTGAAATCTTATAGCTCGTACTGCATCTAATCTGCTTTCCCAGCGGGTCCCACTTAGGGGTTTTACAGTTAGGTTATTGATGTGTTTTACTAAGACATCCCATCGATGAGTCGACGCAGAGAAAAAAACATAGACTTCTTGAATTATATTAAAGAATATAACTGCATCCAGACAACAATTTACCGAATCATTTAAAACTAAATTTAATGAATGAGCATTGCATGGTACATAGAACGCTCTTCGGTTAAGTTGGCGAACTCTTGCTCGGACACCATTTTGTTGACCACGCATATTGGCACCGTTATCATATCCTTGTCCCCTCATGTCATCAAATACAATACCATATTTTTTAAGAGTTTCAAGTAAAACATTCGTCATATTTAAACCAGTTGTATCATGTAATTCGATAAATGTTAAAAAATGTTCATTTATAGAAACTTTTGCAGGGACATTATCTTTCTTTTCGGTAGCTGTTACGAATCTTATAATCATTGTCATTTGCTCTTTATGACTAACGTCAGGTGTACAGTCCAAAATAATTGAATAGTATTTCGAATTTTGTACTGCTGATACTATTTTTTGTCTTATTTTGTTATCTAAAAGTTGGATTATTTCATTTTGAATATTTTTACCGAGGTAATTAGTATGTATGTCTTGAGATGTTATCCTACTAATATGCTCTTTTATGATAGGGTCAAATTTTCCCAGAAGTTCAATAAACTTCAAAAAATTCCCATTATTGAACTCATATAATTTATCAGAACTGCCTCGTAAAGCTAAATTTTGCATTCCCAAAGTTTGAATAAGAGATATAATTCTTTCAATGACGGCTTTCCAGTGTTTTGTTTCTTTACGAATTAAAGCTTGATTTTCATCGTTGATAGTTTTTCCTTACATCATTCGAGTCTGAAGAATTTTCCAATCTTCATACGCAATTTTATGATTTGGGGAGTTTTCATGCCGTTTTAGTATTTCAGATATATTTTTCCAGTCTCTGGTACCTTGCTTAGAGAGAGAAGATATATCTTTTTTAAATAATTTGCAGCAAAAACAAAATACTGAGTCACTTGACTCTGAATAAATAAGCCAGGTTCTATTAAGCTTTTCTCCATTAGATAGTGTCTTAAAGTAGTGAACATTAGAAAACTTTCTTTTAGAATCATCTAATGGGTAATAATTTAAATTTATTTGAAGGGGATTATTTTTGACTAATAATAACTTAATTCTATCATTTATCACAGGCCACTTTGCAGGGTCCTTAATAATTTCAACATCTAAATTTAAATTGTCATCTGAATTGTCCATTTTCGAATTAAAATCTGTAACATCAGATCTTCCATCTTCATCGGTAACTTCAGATTTAACAGTATCATCATTATCTTTATTAATATCAACCTCTAAATTTAAATGGTCATCAGGATTATCGTTTTCCAAGTTAAAATCTGTAACTTCTGTATCTTCATCGATAACTTCAGATTTAACGGAATCATCATGTTTGGATTTAAAAAATTTAAACATTAAGCCGGATTGCTTGGCAATTTCAGCTTCTGTCGCCGCACGTCTTTTTCTGTACTCCGATCCCGATAAACGGTGTCGCTTTTTAGTATTACCCACATCAGAGTTAGACATTCTTGAATTATTATTATATAATAAGATAGGTACCTAAATTAAATAATTTAATCATTACTCATTAGATACCTTTATTTTACTAATACATAATATTATTATACATTTGTAATCCACGCGACAACAGAGGTTATAATATAATATCACGAAACTAACGAAGGGATATAAAATATATAGGTTAGGTTAGGGTTATGGTATATAATTTACAGTCAACTTAATAAGACAAGTAATAACTCAAATCGGTCGAGTCATTAGGATAAACAAAAATTCAAGTTATAGAAAAAATTGGGGCCAAGATAAAATAAAATAAAATTGAAAGTGTAAACGCGTTAGATTTTAATAAAGCCGAAGAAAGTCTCAAGACAAAGTAAAGTTATTAGTAGAAATCGTTTGGTACAATAGTACGATATTAATTTATACGTCATAATATCGATTTAAATTGATAAATAAACATAAATATAATTTCCATACAAAAATGTGTAGCATAATCATAAAGATAATTATTTTAAATATTTAAATAACATAAACAAGTTTAATGTTAAATTTTTATAATTTATAAGAATAAATACCTGTAATTTGTAAATTAATAGAAGCATAATATAATGGCCAATGTTCTACTGATGAAAGTCGGCAGGCAAATGAAAATATTGAAAATAAAATCATTACTCATTAGTATTAACTTATCTGTAATCATCGATCGGTATTCGGTACCTATTTATAGTCAATAATATTCATTAACAGTGCGTTTTGTGGAAGAGTAGGTAATTGAAAACAACAAAACACGTTATTGGGGCCAGACAAATGACTGATTCACGGAACCGTTTAAAAACCGTCAAGATAACACCGTAACTTGCTGCGGTCGACGGTCGACCAAAAGCGTAAATTAAATTTACTAAATTTACTTTTATATTTTGTGCACTACTGACCAAATTTTATATTTTTACTTTTTATTTTTTACTGCACACGATTTGATATAAGTAAGGAGTCTTTTTAAAAATTATCTAATATACAAAAATGTTAAATGCCGCCCCTGGAAAATGCCGCCCTAGGCGTGGGCCTATATCGCCTACCCCTTGAGCCGGGCCTGCTGATGGATTACTTGCGCAAGCAAAAAAAATGAAATTACTGAGTGACAATCAATTTCCACCTCTAACAGTCGAAACGACTGAAAATTTCAGTGCCTTGTGTTGATAGAGGAAAAGTCGATGCAAATAATGTGTTAGGTGTTATATTAAGTGTTACTGATGATGGGTTCTATAAAATAGGAACCAAAAATAGAATTTTGTCATCACTTTATGCCAGAAACCAAATATTTCAATGCAAGGAACAATTTATTAGTAGCAATGATGTACCGAATATCGTAATACCACTGAGGACTGCTAGTACTCAAAATTCATTAATTGGAGGACAAGGGTTTATTTTTTGTTCTTGCAAAACTAAGTGCACTACGAGACGATGCAAATATAAACAACAAAATATTTTGTGTAATTCTAAATGCTATAGTTTTAATATGTGTAGCAACAAATAAACAAAAATATTATTTTTTTATTATTATATTCAATTATATCTGTACAATATTTTTTATTAATTATTTATTTTAACATTATAGAGAACCTAATATTATTATATGTTTATTTTTATACGAGTACTTAATATCATTATATTTTTATTATTATATAAGTGTATTTAATTATATCTGTACAATATTTTATGATTATTATTTTTTCGTATTTAATATAAGTGGTTATTTAAAACGCTACAGTTTGACTCAAGTGAGGTTTAAATATGTTAATTAAGTTTATTTAATTATATTTGTACAATAATACTTATTTTATAATTATTAAATTTGTTTATAATATTATCAAACGTATTTAAAACTCTACAGTTTTGTCCTTACGATGAAAGTCAGTATACGGTTTTGCCCAAATGATGTTGGTCATAACTAGGTTTGCCCGGTAAAAAGCCGAAATATGACATTTTGCCCAAGGATTGTGGGCAATTCGCGTTTTGCACGGGCATTACTGAGGTTTGCCCAATTTCGGCTTTTGCCCGTAACATATACAAGGAAATCTCTTGTTGTTGTAATCGACAACCTTCCAATTCAGATTAATTCTTGGAATTATTTTCACATTTGAAAACAACAATCTCCAGGATGTTATCGTCCTTACTGGCAATTCTTAGAAATGCAAAACGACCTCGCCTAACAACTACTATTGATTTATTATGATGTTTTTACAAAATATGAATCTAATATTTCGTATACATTATAATTATTAGATCACGTATATATCTATATTACTATTGCTAACACCTATAGCAATATTACACATTATATTATATATATTTATATTATTATCATATCTCATAGCCCATAACACCTGTTACATCTTAATGTACCTACTAAATGTGTTTCATTTTCTAAAAGTGCGTTAGCTAGGTTGATTGAAGTGTAAAAATTGTAATTATAGTTTTACCAGCGTTTAAATATAAATAAATCAAATTCATTACAACACTACACCCTAATCCTCTGCCATCACCATTTGCACCACAGAGTTCAAATAATTTAATGCCGTATTTGTGAGCCTTACTGGGAATGTATTGTTTAAATTTTAATCTAACCATGGAATGTAACCATTGTTTCATCGACTACCATCATTTTCTCTGGTTCCAATGCATTTTGAAAATTGTTAACAATTTTTTGGATTAAATCGAAATTTAAAAATCCTATCATTTTCGGGGGCTTGCTCATTATCCGAAAAAATGCCAAAACCGAAGAATCAATTCAAATCTATTTCTGGACATTATGCTTTTTGTTACACTATTTTCATACATTATTTTTAAACTCCAATAATCTTAAAGGCTTGGCATTTGTACTAATCCCATCCACATTAGTAAACCCAAAAATTGCTTTATTTCTGTAGCATTAATAGGTGTCTACTTCGAAAATCTAATAGGTTTAGTTAATCAAAATTTAGATAATACTTGATCTGCATTTTTATTTGTTTCTAAAACTATGAGGTCGATAATTTCGTCTGTTACAAATAATTTGAAATATTGCAATACAGTTTCATTGTTTGGAATTTCAACTTTAAAATCAGGATTTTTACTAAATATAAATTGTTTTTGGTGATGACCTGTAACATTATTCCAGGTATGTTCAATAACGGGTCTTTGTGAATTAGTTACTTCATTAAAAATTTCATCAAAATTATTATCATTTGCAAATGTATAGAAATACTAATTAGGACAAATATTATAATTATATTTTTTTTTATTGCGTGTGGGAAAAAAAGTATTGCAAATTTAAAATGTTAGGCATTTTGGATAATGAACAAACATATACTACCTACCTATGTAAAAACGACCATTGACTTTATAACAAACTTAATAAATTTGGTAAATGACAAAATATTTACTTACCACTGTCAATATTATCGGATTCATTTGAAGGAACATAATGCTCGTCTTCATTAGAATCGTCAAATTCACTAAAATAACTGAAGTCGTCATCTAAAAGTTCCAAAACAATACTTAAATCACAGACTTAGAGCCGTTTCTGTCGAGAACTCATTTGTATAATATAAAAAAAACTTAATAGTCGATGTAAGTACGCCGGCGGACGTACTATAATTATAGTTTATTAATAATCTTCAAAGAACAATAAACCAATTGATATCGGGATCGTATTTTTAGGCCTATTGGTTCTAAAATTATCACTCAGTACATTTTACGAATGTTGCCCGGAGTATACGTAAAGCATTATAAAAATAAACGTCTGTGCAGCTGTACGGCAGTCAACGTGTTAATACTTTGAAAAGGCTAAACTCAATCATGGGCTATGCTGTCCATCGACGTGTTATCACGTTGGCTACTAATCTGTTTTTCAACTAACTTACATTAATTATCATGAGTAGTACCGGTAACTCTCACTTTGTTTTTCTTATTATACCACGAGAGTGACCGGTGCCACTCAGCTTATCTTGGGTTAGGACACTCGGTATACACTGTAGACACGCTCTAATGGATAAAACTATAAACGAAAATAATCTTTATTATATTATTTACCTTGAAGTACAGGAGGAAGTCCAGGTTTTGGTGTGGCTTACGCCCAGAACGCATACCTTACCTTAGCCTTTGGCTATTCAAGGGATGTGTTTGTTTACATGAAGTTAACACCTCATGCACGTCTTCAATATGGAACACGAGTACCGGCCTGTGACCGTACCCTTTTCGAAATTGGCCTTTCGGTGCCTCTTTCCTGTTGGGTTAACAGTTTGTTACTATCTAGCAATTACTCATGCCACAGCCACCACGTTGCAGCCAAGGTAGGCTCCTCAACCATTGAGGGGCATCTTCCCCAAAGAAGCAAGCTTCTCTAGTTACAGATGGGGCTCCCCTCTCCCGTGGTACTTAGTTTAAGGATGGCGTTAGGTGAGCCAACCCGAGATTATTGGTCTCTCCCACTATTTTAGCTCCGAATAGCCGGCTAGTGGTGGGCCTTGAGGAAGGATTTTCAGTCCAGGACTAGGGGTCCTTCCAGCCCCACAGGATGCCTATTACCCTGGGTCGTTTTGGTTGCCCTGGGTACTTCCAAACCCTCTGCTCCATTTTATCGCCTCTTACGATAGGCCCGGAGGACCGTCAAGGTATTCTATTCCCCGTTGACAGGGTGTCGGACTTAAGTACCTGGTACTTTATAGTATTAACTCCCGTGATTTTATTCTATTTATCTATCCGACCTGTTGTTTAGTGCATTCTTGGCAAATTGTCTCAAGGCTTCAAATCGTGTTTTCGTTTTGGTAAATTCTAGTGATGTTACGAACTGTTCGATTTTCGAACTGAAAATTGCAAATAGTCGAACCGAACCAAATACCTAATAGTTCGGTTTGACAATCGATCCAGAGAATTTAAAAATAAGTCGGCGATCTAACATTATTATTGTAATTAATAATAATTATTATTTATTGCGTGTTTTGACTGGCGGCGGCCCGCGGCGCGGCATA